GAATGCCACATAATTCCTCAGCCATTCAGTATGGGTTGCACTTAGTAATTCCTTCTGAAGAGTACTGTATGGGAATGGAGGGGGTGGTGGTGGATAATTTTACAGTTTACTGGGCAAACTACCTAAGCCAGGTGATCAAGGTTAACAGTACCACTGATAAATCAGATTGATAATATGCACCCTTGGTGTGATGTGAGAAGAATGACATCTCACCTCAGTGGCCTTCCAGAAACCCATAGTCCAAACTTCCCCCAAGATCTTTTTGTTTTGTTTTACATATATATACATATATATATGTATATATATATAATTTTATTGGGGGCTCTTACAACTCATTACAATCCATACATCAATTGTATCCAACATATTAGTACAAATATTCCATCATTCTTTTCCAGACATTTACTTTCCATTGAGCCCTTGAGATCAGCTCTTTCCCCCCCCCACTTCCTCCGCCCCCCCACCCCAACCTTTGTGGCCCCTTGATATAGATTGTTAATTATTTTAAAATCTCTCACCAACTGCTGTCTCCCTTGCCCTCTGGTTTCTGTTGTTCTTTCCCCTGGATTCCCCCAAGATCTTTGACTGTTGGTAAATACATCGATTGTGTTCCCTCATCATTCAGACAAATCTCACAATTAAGACAAAGATAGGACTATGATTGAAAGACTTACATCCTTATATAAAAGGGCTTCCAAGATTGGTCCAGGGACTTCTGACCAGGGCAGTTAGGGGGGAAATGATAGGCCATGACTCATGACTATGACACCCCCTGTACTATTCCCAGTACAGTGACCTCTATCAAGGATACACCTAGGCGAACCCCAAGAGAGAGACTGCCCTTCCCTGGACTGGCCAGAGAGGCATGGAGACAAGCCAGTCTCCAAGACATTCTGCCTGAGGGTAAGATTGTCTACATCCTTGGTTAATGATCAGAAAGCCTTCAAAGGCGGCTTGGTTTATTGGGGGCGCTGCAAATGGATTTCAGGCTGCCACTGCCATTCATACTCTTTTGCAAACCAAAAGACTATTTTGAGCTCTAATACAGTAACTGTATGAATATGGAGTTCTTCAGTCTAGGAGATGTCTCCCCGACCCCTTGCCCTCATCTCCCACTATTTATATATTCAATCAATTGTTTATATTAGTATGTGTCTGAATATTTATTTTATAGTTTGGCCTATAATTCACTATCACCTTATTCTGTTGCACAAATTGTTCCATCTTTGGCCTCTAGGAACTCTTTTAGTTGATTCTTGGCCCCTTTGACATACCTTCAATCACTGATGGTTTTTTTTAGCACTTCCTTAGTTTGTGCTCCAGGCGTATCTGGGATGTTTCTTGTCCCAGATCTAGGATCTGGATGCTACAGAGGCTCCCATACGGGTTATTTTCTAGCTACAAAGCTTCTAATAATGATGCTTTGACTCTGGTGTGAATTGGGAACTCAGGAAGAACTCAGTCCTGGAGAGCGGAAATTCCCTAAATGGCTTTTTATCTCAAAACTAGAATAATCTAAACTAACAAACAAAAAAGTAAAAAATTTGACTACATAGTCATACAAATCATCAGGCTTGTTGATTGCAAATGAACGCTATTTGGTTACAACAGGGCTGCAGAAGCATCCGTAGAAAAATACGGATGTTGTGTGTCATCAGGAAGAACAGTAATAGTATCTTAGGCTTTGCTACATAACAGACACAGCATGGTACACTCCTGAAATTCATCTATGATACCGAATGTACACTCAGGTTTGGTAACTAAGTGATAACAATTATTATACAGATGGGCAAAGGTAACACATTCTCTTGCCATCTTCCTCGTTGAAGGACTTGCTCATAATCATCATAAAATCTCTTCTGTTACACACAGTGGAGCCTATAAAGTTCAACCAGAAAAATCCACTCTCCACGCAGGTGCTACCCGGGTTAGGATCTCCCTTCTGCACCCAGTCTCCACACATCAAGACATTGTTAACAGGCGTCTGTCCCCCAGCGTGTCTGGCTCGTTCCATCTTCTTTGGATGTGTCTTGCATCATTCAATATTTTTCTCACAGCATCCTTTAATAATACAACTCAGGGCTTGAATTTTTCTTCAGTTCTTTCAACTTGAGTTGTGCTGAATGTAAGGCAAGGTTGACTTGTGGTTTTCTAATTCCAGGTCTTTGCACATTTCATTACAATGCTTTACTTTGTCATTTCCAGCTGCCCCTTGAAATGTTTTGTTCAGCTCTTTCCTTCCTTGTTTCTTACATTCATTTGGTTACTGCTTATAGTTGTCAGTGAGAAACCCTGTGAAATCACCTCTAGCCCAGATTTCAATGAATCTGAGAGTGGAGGAAATGGGTTTCCTAAAGCCACCTTGAGGCCAATCAATAGCTTAGTAAGCAGTTTAGTGGAGCGCCTTTGACCTTAGGCAGTGGGCCTTTTGAACTATCTATATGTCATCACTCACTGCCATTGAGTTGACCGACTATGAGACAGGGCAGAACTGCCCCTGTGGGTTTCTGGGACTGTGGTTCTTTATAGGGTTGTTAGAAAGCCCCTTCCGTCTTCCATGGAACAGCTGGTGGTTTCCAGCTGTGGACTTTGTCGTTAGCATCCCAGTTCATAAACACTGTGCTATCAGGGCTTGGTAAGCTCACTCATGACCATTTATCTCATTTATTCTAGAAAAAAATTCTTATAAGATGAATTCATCAAGTGATAACTATTACCATTTTGTTATAATCAGCATCACCAATGAACAATACCCTCATCACTCACCATCACCAACCCAACTTCTAACCTACTGTGCCACCAGGGCACTGGCCATGCTATCAGGAAGACTAAATCTCCAGAGAAGGGTCTGAGACTTGGTAAAGTAGAGGGTCAGTGAAAGAGACCTTCAATAATATGGATTGACTTAGTGGCTGCAATAATGAGCTCAGATATACACACAACTGTGAGGTTAAATTTGGATCAGGCAGTGTTTCCTTCTGTGACACACGGGGTCACTATGAATGAGAAATGACGTGATGACACCTAAGGCAACCACTACCACTACTACGTACCAGAAAGATGCTTACTGGTGTTTCGTGGACTATGCAAAGGCATTAGACTGTGTGGACCAGAATAGACCGTGGACAACCTTGAGAAGAGTGGGGATTCCTGGACACTTTAGTGTGTTCATTTGGAACTTGTGCATGGATCAAGAGGCAGTTGTGTGAACAGAGCCCAGGAATACTGCATGATTTAAAATCAAGAAAGGTGTGTGTCAGGGTTGTATCCTCCCACCATACTTGTTCTATCTGTATGCTGAGCAAATCATCAGAGAAGCTGGATTCTATGAAGAAGAATGTAGCATCAGGATTGGAGGAAGGCTTATTAGCAACCTGTGGTATGCAGATGATACAGCCTTGCTTGCTGAAAGTGAGGAGGAATTGAAGCACTTACTGATGAAGATCAAGGGTTGTAGCCTTCAATATGAGTTAAAACTCAGTGTAAGGAAGACCAAGATCCTCACTAGACCAACAGGTAACAGCATGATGAATGGAGAAAAGATTGAACTTGTCAAGGATTTTGTCTTGCTTGGATCCACAATCAATGCTCATGGAAGCAGCAGCCAAGAGAACAAAAGACGTATTGCACTGGGTAAACCTGCCACACAAGGTCTTTCTAGAGTATTGAAGAGCAAAGATGTTACTTTAAAGACTAAGGGGCACCTGACCTAAGCCATGGTATCTTCCATTGCATCATATGCATGTGAAAGTTGGAAATTGAATGAAGAAGGCCATTGAAAAATAGACACATTTGAATTATGGTGCTGGAGAAGAATATTGAAAGTACCATGGACTGCTCAAAGGACAAACCTATTGGTATTGGAAGAAGTCAGGCCAGAGTGCTTCTTAGAGGCAAGGATGGCACGACTTAGTCTTACATACTTTAGACATATTGTCAGGAGAGACCAGTCTCTGGAGAAAGACAGCATGTTTGGTTAAGTGGAGGGGCAGCAAAAAAGAAGGTGGCCCTGAATGCGATGGAGTGACACTGTGGCTGCATCAATGGGCTCCAGCATAGGAACACTGGTGAGGATGACACAGGACTGTGCAGTGTGTCATCTGCTGTGCACAGGGTCACTATGAGTCAGAGCTGACTCGGCACCTAACAACAAAAATACTACAACGTATGACTTAGAAGAAGTATTTGGGCTCAAGCCCCAAAGAAGGAGAGACTCACTACATGTAGAGGAGGAGAGACTGACAAACATCCGGACCCAGACTGAGGGACATTCATTTATTTGTACCCGGGGAGGGGTGTGAGGGGGCTTGCTTATAGACCCTGATATCAGTACTGCATTCAGTGGCAACTGGCTGGACAAGAAAGGATCCAGTAATGGGTAGCTGTGGCCCTTTTTAATCAACTTTGAGTGAGGTGAGTGACGGAAATTATTTGAGATTCATTGTTAGGTCAACTTTGTGATAAGGGGGAAGGAGGAAGCATTCACAGGGTAGCTGGCTGTGTTCTGGCCTGACTACCTGTGGGAGGAGGTGTCTGGGTGACCCAAAGGACATCCCAGGAATGCCTCCTTAGCTGAAGTGTGGCCATTTTGGAGCCTTAACTAGTGTCCCTACAGGAGGTTTTCATTACAATGTTATCCCCATTTCACCGAACAAAAGATGAAGGCTTAGAGGGGGGAAAGAACATGCCTCAAATTGCACAACAAATATGTCGTGGGGTCAGAATTCGACACAGAGAGGCACAGAGCAGTTCGGCGGCTTGGAGTGGTGTCACTGGGTGAGCACTCAGGCCTCTTCCCATAGCCTCTGCTGACTTTAGGTTGTGTATGGAATGACTCAGAAAAGGCAGGGTTTGGGTTAATTAACGCATTGGATGGAAAGCGAGCTGTGGCCCTCAGGGAACTCAGGTATTATATAAACTCTGGCGTAAGTGGTCAGGAGGTGGAGCAGCTCAGAGTTCTGCAGCGACACAGGTGTTAGATGCTTCCCAAGGCTCCCAGGATGGGTCCTAAGGCCCTGCGCCGCTCTGGGCTCTGTTTCAGGGTTGAGTATCGTGCTGCCCACCCAGTGCTATTTCTAATGCTCTTGGCTAATGTGCTGGTGATTTGGCCTGAGGCTGCTAAAGTCAGGGTGGGCTTCCAGGCCCCCTGGAACATCTCTCATCCACTCAGTGTGCAAAGACTCGGTGCGGGCCTTCAGCTTGCCATCGAGCAGGTCAGCTTGGAGCTGGCTCCCCGGGGAAACTTCAGTTGGGAGTTTACTTACACCCGCACAAGCTGCAGTGCCAAGGAGGCCCTCGCTGTTTTCATCAACCAGGTCCAGCGTGAACAGATTGCCGCTCTGTTTGGACCAGCATGCCCAGAAGCGGCTGAGGTAGAGTATACAACCCTTTAGAAACATTGCCTCAGTTTCCATTGAAAAAAAAGGGGGTGATTTTAAAGACTATATTCCAGATAAGAATAATCTCTTGACAAAGATTGTACGATTATTCTAATGACTGCGTAGTAGTTTTTGAGGATCATTTCTTTGAGGTGTAATTCGAGAAGTAATTAGAGCAGTTAGCATTCTCTTAGAAAACCTTTCAAATCAGGGAGTATTCGCTTACCCACCCTCCTTTCCCGTTTGTTGATGGTGTGCACTTGAGGCTGGTGTGTGTAGCCTCATTGCTTTCCATCCTACTGTTGTCAGCCATATCATTCAGAAAGTAGAATTAAAAAACCAATGCTTGGTTTCAACAAGAAAATGGTCACTCGTTTAGGTTTCCTTTATGTGCATATAATAAATTACTATGATGGTGAAAGCAAATGGGGGGAAAAAAAACCCAGAATGTGACAGATTGCAATAAACTAGATCAAGAGACCCAGGACAATGAATGGCATTTATTTGTTGGCTAATGGGATACCCTTTGTTGATGTTCTTTGTTGAGCCCTCGTGGGGTAGTGGATTATAAATTGGGCTGCTAACTTCAAGGTCAGCAGTTCAAAGGCACCAGCTTCTCCAAGGGAGAAAGAAGAAGCTTTCTACTCCCGCAAATATTTACAACGTCAGACACCCACAAGGGCAGTTTTACTCTGCCCTACAGGGTCCTTATGAATTAGAACCAACTTTATGGCAGTGAGTTTGGTTTTTGATTGGCTATTGCATGATCTGTGGTGCTGATGGGAAGTCTAAATATGAAGGAGCATCCTCATTCTCACTCTTAAATGTACTGCCCAATTGTCGTTAATGTTGGTGAATTGTGGAGAAATGTAACATTTGAATTTGAATTTGATTCTTGGTTTCTCGTCTACGGCCATACCACCCTGAACGTGCCAGATCTCCTCTGATTCTTGGTTTCTCCTGAGGCTCCCTGTTGGACACATGTATTGCTTATTCAAAGTCTATAAGATCAAGCTCAAATGTCATGAAGAGATTTTTAGTCCCTCTACCCACCACGTCTCTAATTCCCAAATCAGGAGTAATTTCTTTCTTCTCTAAACTATAATATGCCCATTGTCTGTCCACCTTGAAGGGTGGGTGTATTGAACACTAGAGCTATTTTGATTTATATGCACTTCTATAAATGCAACTTCTCCAAAGTTCCTTATCAAGACTTGGCGCCTAACGAGTAATGAATAAAGAATTAATTGAGAAATCTGGCTAGACCAGAGGATGTACACTGGTACAGATAGGAACTGGAAACACAGGGAATCCAGCACAGATGATCCCTTCAGGACCAGTGGTGAGAGTGGCGATACTGGGAGGGTGGGTTGGAAAGGGGGAACCAATTACAAGGATCTACATATAACCTCCTCCCTGGGGGATGGACAATAGAAAATTGGGCGAAGGGAGATGTCGGACAGTATAAGATATGACAAAATAATAATATTTTATAAATTATGAAGGGTTCATGAGGGAGAGGGGAGCGGGAAGGGAGAGGTAAAATGAGGAGCTGAGATCAAGGGCTCAAGTAGAAAGCAAAGGTTTTGTGAATGATGATGGCAACAAATGTACAAATGTGCTTGACACAATGGCTGTATGGATAGATTGTGACAAGAGTTGTACGAGCCCCCAATAAAATGATTTTTAAAAAAGAATTAATTGAGAAAGAATGCTGTCATTGAGAGTTGAGCTGGCATTATAAATGAGGGCTCTGGGACCAGATTGCCTCTGTTTCGTTGTTGGCTCTATTATTTGCTAAATTTGTGCCTGTAGGCGAAAAACTTACATCTCTGTGCCTCCATGGTTTTTCATCTATAAAATGGGATAAGGCTAATACCCTAGAGACATTTCCAGGAATTTAGATCATTCTATCTAAGCTCTTCATAGAGTGCTTGACACACGGGATGAACAAATTCTTCTCACTGTTATCCTTGTCTGCTGAGGTCCATTGGATCCAAGCCATTGCATCACCGACTCATAAACACACTGGATTCACCATCTATCCAACATAGTTTATTAGGGAGTTGGAGGGTAGCCTAAGCTCAGCTATGGAAAAGCATTCTTCTGTTTACTTTCAAGGTTATTGGTTTGCTGGCTTCTGAGTGGAATATCCCCATGTTTGACTTTGTGGGACACACGGAGAAACTGGAGAGCCACTCCTTGTATGACACCTGTGTGAAGCTCGTGCCCCCCATGCAGGAGATGGGTGAGGTGCTCCAGAAAACTCTCCAATACTTGGGGTGGAAACACATTGGGATGTTTGGAGGCTACTCGGGAGCTACCTCCTGGGATGGACTGGATGAGTTGTGGAGGGTTGTAGAAAAGAAACTCAAAGCCCAGTTCACCCTCACCGCCCATGTGACACACACCAACCAGGATCCAGCCTCCCTTCAAGAGAATCTTAGACGCATGGCCGCAGTTGCCAGAGGTGAGTTAAAAAAAAAAAAAAGTCTCCCCTTGCTTATGAAGAGACAAATAGGAAAAGCACATGGTGGTGGTGGTGGGGTGTGTGTGGGGGTCCCTAACCACTAAGAACGTTTGATTTTCTGTGGGTGACAACAGCAGATGGAAATCGTTCCCAATATAATGAAATATAAAACCAGCTCCCTTCCTGGCCCCACATCACCAAGAGAGCATTGCTTTTTTGTTCAAAGTGAAGCTCTCGTGGCTCTCATGGTATGATGCTCCCAGTAAGATCTGGAGCATCTCCGGGTAGACTGGGCCCTGCACTTCTGTGTTGTTCAGAGCATGGGCTGTGTGCTCCTGGGCAAGGACCTGAACCTCTCTGTTCTGATCTGTAAAATGCGGACAATCCTCCTACCTACCTCTACGAATTACGAGGATTGAACAAGATCGTGCCTGTAAAGCACGTAGCACTGGGTCTAGACGTAGTTACTTGGTCAACCTGGGTTAGCACTTATTTTTGTTGGGGTGCTTACGAGACTCTACATCCTAGCATGGTTAGCAGTAAGGACTAACTGACTCCTGACTGCTCTTCACATAAACTAAGGCCAGCCCATAGTGGACCTAGCCTTAGGGATTTGGGACTGGAGTGCCACTTGCAGCCCCACCCAAGGCTCGGTTCTTTCAGACCAGCATCCCCTCATCCTTGCAGACTTGGCCCAGGCTCGCTCCACTCCTGTCTGATTCCTGGATGCACGGTACTTTTTTTTTTTTTTTAAATCATTTTA